AACCCCTTTCCCCCATGTAAACTGGAAGACCTCGTTGATTCACACCTTGCCTATAAGGTGTCATTATTTCTACATGTTTGTTTTCTCTCCCTCTCTGCTTCTTCTTGCTTCGTAGTCTTTCTCTCAAGCAAAAAGTAAATTCAATAATATTTGGGTTGACATAAGAGTTTTGTACTCTTGAAGTCCACAATTAGAGAAAATGCACTGACCTATTCCCAGTCCTTCCAGTTTGCTGGCCTGTTTTGGTTGAGTAGTTGTCCATCCTAGTCCTTTGACAAGTTGATGACACCCTTAGCAGTATCAGTGGAGAAATCAAAACACTGGGGCAAAGAGGCTGAGCTTTAACTTCACTGTTAGTAGGATTTCCCTCATAGGAAATAGCAGAGAAGGTGATTGATTAGCAGTGGCATGATTTTGGGTGCTCTGTTGCACAGCTGGGGCCCCCAACATTTGTGGACCTCTATCTGAGTTAGACTGCAGCTCCTGCTGAGTTTACTTCAGCATCTTACTTTATGAAAGAGAAATACTACAGGTAAACCTGAATTTGATGGCTGGCAGACTTGTGGTAATGCAGCAGGACCTTGTGGGGACCTAAGTACTGCTCTGCCTTCTCTGGTGAATTTAGATGTGGATTTCTGCTGTTGTTGACCTCAGTCATTTATCAATGCTAAGCACTTGGCTTAAGAAATGCTAATAATAAGAGAAGGCCTAATATTGTCCATTAGCTAAAACAGTGAATGAGACAGATACACCACGGTGGCTAAACTTCTAATGCTCTCAATCTGTTAGCTATCAATTGTGTTTTCTTACTTTTAAGTAGGAAAAGATAGGTCTTTTAAGAAATGAAGCAGTGCTTCCCCTTCAAATGGTGATGAAGTAACACCATGGTAAGTTTGGACAGGGTGGAGGCTGAAAACAGAGAGGATTTAAAATATTCTGAGCTTCTTTTGCTGGTATGAGAAAGCAGAGTCCAAATGCTTTCAAAGTTTTTTTGAATGTAAAAGCTATTAAAACATTGCTTCTTCATAAAACCTCTTTAACAGGTTTCAGCTGTTGCAAGATTGGTTTGGAAACCATACTGTTTAAAATGAGTAACTGCAGGGGTATTTACATCTATCTTTTAATGTTTTAGAATTCAGGTTTTAGAATTTTTATACAGCTGTGTGATTAGAAAGATTATTTTTTATTATTAATGAAAGTAATTTTTGCATTGTAGTCTTACTTGAGAATCTTTGACTTCTAGAAAATTCTCAGAAGGATCAGTCTTGGCATCATGTCCAAGAGGTTTGTTAATGTAGTCCTGGCGATACTGTTCCTTTGAAAAAAATCAGCATGGAAGTGCTAATAATCAGTAGTGGTAATAGAATTTCAAACATACATGTGTGTGATGCAAGTTAGTCTGAATCAACTTGTCTATTATTACCCTGGGAAGGAAATCCATTCCTAACTACCCGAGCCTGTGAGAGGACAGGATCCCAATAAGATTTCTTTCCTTCTTTACAACAAAATTCCCCCATCACCCTCCTGGAGCTGTAGGTCCACCAAATGCACGGTCCAGGGTACAGACCCTGCTGGAAGACACCCACTTCCCACTGTACACTTCTGCATCATCCTGGTTTTTTCCATTCAGCTACTTCATCCTTCATCCTACTTCGCTGCCTCCTCACCTCTGCTGCCTCCTTTCTGAGGGAGCCACATCACAGATTTCCCTGTTTGCTCTAAAGAATCTCCCATGAGGTCCTAGTCAAAACTCCACTCTATCACTCTCATGTGCAAGGAGCCAAAGGAGAAAAGGCAGTTGAGGTAGCCAGGTCTTTGCTACCCAAACGTGTTTGTTCATTCTCTTCATGGGATAAAGGAAAGGTTTCATACTTGCAAGCTACCAACTGCTATTGCTCCTGGGACTTGCCTGGTGTCAGTGCATCTTCTCTGCATCCTCGCAAAGGGCCTGTTGCTACTGCTGTGTGTAAAATCAGGAAGAATTTTGTCTGCATCAAGCTGGCTAAGCCAAGTCCCATCCTAGAACACAGAAGAGGGCTACTCATTAAAGGTTGCTGTTCCTCATTGCCCTTTGGTCCCCAGGTAGATCTATTATGACAATACCATGGTTCTGGATATACAGAAAATATTCCCTTTCCCAAGTCAAATGGTGTTCCCCTTAATGCACTGACAGATTTCAAGGAATGGATTTGCAACGATGCCACTTTCTCACATGGCACATATTCTGTACACATTAGTCATTATAGTGACATGTTGTAAATGAAGTCGTAAAAGCTAAAAAAGCCTTAAAACTGAGCTCTTACTTTGGGGTCCAGATAGCTGCAGTGACTTTCCAGTGCCTAGACATGCTTCACTCTGAATTAGATATTTATAGGCTCTAAACTGCAGAAAAGTGCAATGGGAGGCTCCTGTAATGCTGTTAAAATACCAGTGTTATTCACATTGAAGCTATAACGTGTTTTTGCTAGTTACTGTATGATTTCAGAGTTATCATGTTAGCAGGCTATTAAGCATGAGTCATCTTATCAGATCTTACCAGTTTGAATGAAGAACTTATATAATTTCTGAAATGCGATTTAGCAAACAAGAGCAGACTGTCAGCCAGCATCATACTGTCTGACTGAGCAGACAAGTTCCTTCTTCAGGAAACCAGGTAGATAATGATGCATTTGCTGTGCTTTCTACAGCATGAGTCCCTCTCTGCTGAAATGCCATTGGCAACTTCTGCTGCGGTTGGTAAACTGAAGACACAGTGCTTCTGAATAACTGTTGTCTTTGGATTTTCAGCACAATCTTGACCGTGGCAGTCAACCTTATCTCATTTCCCTAAGGGGAAAATGGTTCTTCAGATGAACTGGGCTTTCTGTCTTCCCAAGACACATCTCTGGTCATGCAGCAATTGAGCAGTTCCATGATATCCCACGGGTTTACACTGAAGCAGCTTCGGACTATATCACTGACTATAGCTTTCCCCATTCTCTTTTCAGATTCTGTTCTTTGCCTTGTGTGAGTGTGGTGTTCCTCTTCCGATCTTTTGGTGTTTCTTCCGTGGCAGGCTGCACTGGAAGTACATATCTTTGAATATCTCTCTCAGAAGATATGTGGATGCCTTGGGGGTTTTGACTCTGTCAAGACTTGACAGTGAATCTTTAAAAGGTTTAAAACAAATAACATAAAAGAGAAGGTTTAGATATTTAAAAGTTGTATGTTTGCAAAGGGGAGCCTTCTCCAGTGCCTAAAAGGCTTACAAGCTGGGGACCTTCTGCATTTATTATACTGCAGAGAGGCACTGGTCATGCAAGGAGCTTTATGTTACAGGTCATGCAGTGAGATCTGTACCATTCCTGTGGTTTCATAGAAGCTGGAATTTGAGTTATTGCAGCAGTTGTTCTCTCTTGAGCTGCTGCAAAAACAAGCTTAAATTTTACACAATTTTATCTGTTTCCTAATTATGTGCTTCTTGCTATTCATCCATTCCCTCCATGTCATGCTTAATTTCAAAGGTGTTGTAAAAATACCTATAAGTTTTTTAAGTATGTAGAAATTCCCATCGTTGCTTCATTCTTGACCCCACCAAAGAGTCACAGTGCCTGGGTAGGGTGGAAAGACCCATGAGAAGCCTTGTGGAGAATATTGTAGGCAGTACTTGCCCATTTTGTTTCCAGTTTTGGTTTGCAAAGGCCAACCTTTGCCTGGTGAACGGGAATGAGTGAGCAGGAATGTGCAGGCTGCAAAACTGTTGAAACACAGCCTCCTCATCTCCCTTGGCACAGAGCAAACTGGCTTTCTGCAGCTGACTGGCAAATGATGTTGAAGAGCAACTATGTGAGCAGGTAGTAATTTGTGTGGATTTTAGGGAAAGCATTCTCTAGGGGCAGTTAGCCATTGTGTAGTTGTCTTTTTGAGCCATGACACGGTTCATTTTGCGTCTAAAAATGCTTATGTAGAAGAGGATAGGGAACAAAATGAGGTGTAACATTGTCATGAATGCTGCATTTCAGCTGAAAAAAATGTAAAGAGCTTTTCTGCTTATATGAGAATAGAATTGAAACGAGATCAACAGAAACTCCAAGACTTGTAGGTCCTCTTCGCAAAGAACAGGAGAGAGAAGATTAGGAAGAGCCTCTAAACAGACCTGCAGAAATGAGTGGAAGTTCACAAATACTTTATCTGTCTGAGGTCACTGAGGTGACTTCTTTGGCATTAGGTGTGTACAGAGACGCTCAGACCTTGCTTTGATCTTGTAATTGCCATGAAAATGGTTAGTGTTTTTCTTGGAAAATGAACAGTGTGATTAAAAAAAGCAAAATGTTAACTCTCAGAGCTCAAGGAAGGTTATGTCTTAAATCTTTCAGGTCCTTTGAGTTTTTCTTAAACCTTTGAACACCTGACGATTATCAGTACAGCACAGTGAAGGGTGACCCTATTTGATTCTTCCTTATATTGAAAACTCAAATTCAGGCCTTCACTTTGATGCCTCTCAAATTCAGTTGAAAAGGAGATGTTTGATTCATTTGAGAAATGTTCAAAAATTACGTAAAATGTCATAGTTTCTTCAGATCTGGTGTGTTTGAGTTAGTGCTTGATTGCCACCCTGGTGCTCAAGATTAATTGTATGTTTTAAGATTTTGTTTAATTTTCATTTCCTAGGTATGAAGACACAGTCAACATCTTTTGGGCTGCATTTATACTTTGTCAGAGATTTAAGCTTCAGATCATATTGCCACTGATACTGAACTGACTTGTTTGAAAAGCAGTTTTATCTTCAGTTGTATATTGCAAGGATGTTCCTCCCTTTGGGTTTAAAGGTAGGCTTTTTGCAGGCAGAATGAGGAATGTGGCTGCTTAAAAGCAGGTGAAGTTTTGAGAAACATGTTTTGAAGGGCATGAGAATGAGAGTGAAATGGATTTAGCTAAGTTTACAAATGTTTCATTTGCCTGTGCAAATGTGGTTGTACTCTGGGATTGCTGAAGAGTGGGATTTTGCTCTCTGTTTGCAGGTAAGCAGCAAGCATGAGCTTGGCAACATGCGACCATGAGTGCCAGGACCGTGTGATCTGAACTGCGTCTTCCACTGACTTCCCAGCACCGAGGTGTTGTTGATCCTGTGCTATGGAGGACTGCCTTCACACCTCCTCCGAAAACCTCTCCAAGCTGGTGAGCTGGGCCCACAGCCATGGGACCATCTGCAGCCTCATCCCCAACCTCAAGCACCTGCTTTCCGAGGGGGCCCATGGCAACCTGACGGCCATGTGGGGCTGTAGCGCTGGCCATGCGTACCACTGGCCCCTGGCTGCCACTTGCCGGGCTGGCTCCCAGGAGCGTGTCTGCTTCCAGGACAGCCGCAGCTTCAACTCGGACAGTCCCAGCATGCTGGGTGTGCCATCAGAGGCACAGGCCAGCCCCCTGGAGCGCTACCCCGGTCGGACGGGGAAGACCAAGCTGGATTGCACCCGCACTCGCGACTCCTGCGACTTCTCCTATTGCAGCGAGCCATCGGAGCTGGGTGAACCTGTGGAGGAGTACGAGGATGAGGCCACTCTCTTCGACATGGTCTGTGAGTCCTCTGTCACTGACGAGGACAGCGACTTTGAGCCGCACCCCCACCGTGCCCCCGCCGGTCCCCGCAAGCGTCCAGCTGCCGGGCTGCCCACGGCTGCCCAGGCGCAGCCTGCTGATGAGGGTGGCAGTGACGTGCTCCTCAAGAAGATCAAGCAGGAGCTCCCTGAGGACTACTATATAGTGGCCAATGCTGAGCTGACTGCCGGTGCTGACGGGCCGGCCCTGGCCCTGACGCAGATGTCCAAGCCCAAGCCACAGCCCCCGGCTGGCCCCTCCTGCCTGGTACCCACCAGGGCTGTACCCCAGCCTGTCGCCGGCCCTGACCCCGACCCCCAACGCCTCTGCTCCTCCCCACCTGGCCTGCCTCGCATGGCCCCACAGCGGCCGCCCCGGGGACCCCTGGCCTCTCCAGCACGGGGGGCAGGCAGTGGCCCTGTGGCTGCCCTGCAAGTGCCAGCCACCAGCTCCAATGCCACCACCACCACTGGGAAACCCATCAGCATCCCCCTCTCAGCGCTGCAGCTGCCTGGTCAAGAGGAGCCACCGGCCGCTGAGGAGACTCTCCCATCTGTCCCACAGCTGACTCCAGGTGGTGAGGTGGCTGGCTCGCCCTCGGTGAGTGCTGAGCCTGAGGTCAGCTCCAGCCAGCAGCAGTCCCATGCCATGCCCACCACCACTCCCGAGGCAGTGGTGCAGTTGATGCCAGGTAGGACACTGGGCGGGAGGTGAGGGGCAGCAGCATTTTGGGGGTTGTCAGCAGGCATGGCTCAGTGAGGGGGCAGCCTGGGAGGATGCATTGCATCAGGGTCCTGCTGGCATATAAGTCAGTAGGTAGAGAACCTACACACACTTGGAAGAGGATTTGGAAGACCTCAGCTAAGCAAAGACCATGAGGAAGTATACTGCAGCCACAGGGAGAATGCTTTTTCAGGTCCATTTTGGTTACACTTGTTTCATGGTAGAGAGCATGCAGCCACCTTGCTGTGTGCGTGGGTCAGGGAGGACATGAAACCAATGCACTCTTTTGATGAATGAGAAAGAAATGGCTCATCCAGTGTAGCCTGGAGGTAGGGGGTCAGGTGTTGCCTTCACCCTGTCCGAAGAGTGACATTGGACATGGAGAGGCACAGAGCACAAGGAGAGTACCAGAAGAGAGGTTTGCACTTCAGTAAATCATTAAACTATTTTCATTGCCTGTAAATCAGAGCAGTCTGTAGAGATCAGAAGTATTACTACCCTTAACCATGAAATTGATAACAATTTAAGCCATAATAAAATTAATTTTTTTCCCTTTTCTTGGTGAGAGCACTCATGCCCCATGTCCATAATTTTTTCATCTCCAGCTGCTATCAGTGCACAAAGAACTGGCAAAACCAGATCAACATTATCAGATAAAGAGCATGTTAAAACAGCTTACTTCTGCTGAATGATTATCTGATGTGCAGAATAACTAATTGTTAACTATAGGTTTTCAAGAGGGAGTGGAAATCTTTCTTGAGCAGATTTGCCAGCTCCCTCTTGACGTGAGTGCAGACAGTGCTCACTTTGCTCTTACAGTTGGTGAGTGGTGCCACTCTTTGAGGAGATGTGGGCAGGAGTGAGTTCTGCATGTGCTCCCTTGCTGATTCAGCCTTGGACTGTCTGATCAGAGTACAGCCAAACAATGAAGGGGGAAAACACTGCTTATATACAGTCCTGGGCAGGTAAGCACTGAAAACAATGACTTTAACAGAGTGGATGATACTTCAACCTGGACATCCTGAAATCTGATTGAATACTAGTAAAGCATTCAATTGGCAAGAGCCTGCAAATCTTGTTGCCAGATAAAACAACAGACAAAGTTAGATACCGAGTTCTACTAAGTAAAACCCTGCTAAGCATAAGAAATTAGAAAGGATGATAACTGTATTAGTGATACCAAAGTATATTCTTCTTTGGGACCCATTTCTGCATGCCTGCATCTTTGAGATGTTATTTTGCAGTAGTCCTGTCATGTAGCATCCCCTGTGGAAATTCCCTTACAAAAATCCGTCTGGTTTAGAATTGACTTCCTCAGCTAAATATGAGAGAGGTGGGATGCCTGGCGCCATTCAATCCAAATTGTGTGGTAAATCTATTTATTCTGCCTTCCTCAGTTTGTAGTCAGTCATTACTATATATACTAGAGCTGGTTTCTACCAACGTGCCCTTGCAACTTGCTTAGTCTCAGACTTGCAATCTGGGACAACAGAATAGAAACCTAGGAAGAATTTTTTCGTGTTAGATGTGTGTTACCTGGGAGAATGATTTACTTTTAACAGATCCATTAAAAAATCTAAAGTGTTTTTCCAGGTCCTCAGAAGCCAAATAAGATCAACAGTTGTTACTGCTTAGGGTTAAACCTTACAGGCATGCAGCACCGCATTTTCACTTTTGTAGAGTTTCAAGGGTTGGTCCATGTCTGATGTCTTACTGTTAGGAAAAAGTGGGATTGCTCCTGGACAAATTTGCCCACTGTATAAATCAACCCTCAAAAACCTTCTAGTGCATTTTGCACTAGACAAAGACAGTGATGTGGTTCTCAGAGTGCTGTCCAAATTCCACTTCAATCAGTTATGTTCTCCGTAGATAAATTTCTTGTGCTCTTCCAAAAATGTGTTACACAGTTCCTTTCCTGATATAGTGTTGTTGGCATATGCTGTTATCTACTCAGTGGTAGTGGCATTTTAATTAAGGTAAAATGATTGACATATGACTAGAACTTGATACATGAGTGAAGTCTCCCATTTCCATAGAGCTTGCTCCTTTGGGAAAGAAGGGCTGTCATTAATAAATCTTCAAGTTGCAGAAAAGTGGGCAAATGCAGAAAAGTGAATTTATTACAGATGCATAATTCTGCACAGCAGATTCTTGATAAAACATGGTGGTTTGAGTAAAGATTAGATTACGGTGATTGTTTGTGTACGATGATTTCATTAGATTGTCTCTTAACAAAGAGCAGTGTACTGGAAGTGGTTCATGATATGTAAAATTTGTGCTATATTGAACTACAAGAAGATGTTTATCTATCCTATGCAAAAATTTTCTGTCAGCTAGATATAAGGATGAGTATAATTCTTATGTAAAAAAAAGGCAGGAACTAATTACATCGAAGAGCCTAGAGCTTTTATTCTTTTATAGGCTCAGTGCCTGCTTCAGAAACAAGAAAAGATTCAGTTGAAAGTAAGGAGGGAATTTAAATTCTCTCTTGTCTCCTCCAAGGTGTTGGTTAATTTTAAAATAATATGTGAGGCCTTGTTCCTGGTCCCATTAGAACTGATAGTATAAGGTCTAAGTAGGCAACTGGTAGTATAAGGTCTAAGATCTGTAGGACTAAGGCCTTAAATAAGTTATGATTAAAGGCTGCAGTCTAACCAGCACTTTGAGTTTTAGCTGAAGTAACATGTCCTTGCATTTGTACCAGCCACAGCTGATAGTTTTCATGCATGCTAATCTCATAGATCATGAAAGTTTGAGTGAGATTCTCCATGAAATCAAAAATCTTGATGATATATGTTAGCTTAGGCCAGTTTAAGCAACATTATGCTTTTGGACTAGTCACTCTTTCGAAGAGAGTTTTATTCCCCCTCTTTTACTCTCTTTTAAGAGTAAAAGGTTTTAATGATGGCATGGTGACAGAATGTATAAGCAGGGACCTTACAAAGATATTTTCATGTCTCAGAAGAGAGGTGGCATCCCAGTGAAAATTCAGTTATGTTAGGCACTGATTTCTGTTGGGTTTAGGTGTCTATCTAAGCACTGTGGCATATACTGGATTATTTTTTGTTACATTTCAGCACTAATAAGTTGACATTTGCCTGTGAATTTTCAGGTCTTTCATTACCACTTTATTAGCAAAGCCTTCAAGAATATATGTATGTACTATTTAATCCTCCTTTTCTTTTTCTGGAAAAACTGAGAGGACCTACATCTGTTAGGAGAGAAATTTTTTGCAATGGTGGAGAGCAGGAAATTTCTGCAATTTGTATTTCCCAAACAGACTCTTTTGTCCTTTGCTTTTGCTAACACTTGGCCTGCTTTTTTGTCTCCAAGAACCAACAAAGGCAAGGTAGATCACATCAGTGGAGATTGAAGATGAGTAAGAAACATCATGCTTTAGGTTGCAGTACATGCAGCTTAGAGAAATTAGTGACATTTTGATGTCTAAAACCAGGAATGGAAAAGATTTGGTGTTATTGCAGAAGGATATGGAGGAAGACTATGGCTCAGAGAAGGGCAGATCTTGTTTTATATGAAATAAGTTTTGATTCTCAGAGAGGCAGGACTTACTTTGCAAACAGAATTACTGAAGAATTTAGGAAGAATGCTTGCCTTTCACCTGAAAACTGAGGGTGAAGATGTGCTTTGTATTAACAAGAGAGTGCAGCAAGGTATCTCTGGTCCAACATTAGTCCAGCACTATAAATAGAAGAGCAAAGAGCTCCATGAAAAAAAAAAAAAAAAGATAGCAAATCCATATGTACAAACTGTGCAGAACACAAAGAGTAGTGAGATGTAAAGTGAAAAATCATCTAAATAAATTGACTAGGGTTGTTGCTTTTGTCAGAGATGTGGCAAATGATATTCTGTGGTACCATCACAGTGCCACTCACTGTCCTACCATCATGGTTATTGAACAGTATCAGCGTTTGAATGTGTGCCATGATGGATCCTGGTCTGTGGTGAGGGCAGCACTTAGCTTTGCTGGCTCTGATGTCTCTGCTCTGACATCCTCTCCATTCTTTTATTTTCTCTAACTGGTGTGTCAGAATGCTAGATCAATACCCGATAATCAGCTTAGCCTGTGCTCTTGTCACAGGAAGGTGTGAGCAGGGATTGCAGCCTTTCATGATTGACATGTAACCTGGTTTGGCTCTTGCTCTGCTCTCAGTGTGGACATCCGTGTTGGTTCCAGGTGTTCATATAAATCTTTGTCTGAACATGACCATTATAAAATGCAGTACGTCTGGGGGTTGTCTGATATTTGTGTACAGCTCTTAGGTGGAATATTTTAAGTATTTTTCTGCACTTTTCTTTTGTACTTCACATGGGGTTGCTGAAACAGAAAGGGAAAGGCACTTGATGGTTTAGGTCAGGGTACATTCTGAGAGTGATTTTCCACTTTATAGAAGGTTGGTATTTCAGTAAATAGGCCTAAGGAAGTAATTATTCCCCTGTACTTGGCACTGGCGAGGCCACAGCTCGAATTCCCTGTTCGTTTTTGGGTCCCTCACTCCAAGAAAGACCTTGAGGTGCTGAAGCAACAGAGGGCAACAGACCTGTTGAATGGTTTAGAGCATAAGTCCTATGAGGACTGGCTGAGGGAGCTGGGGTTATTTAGCCTTGGGAAAAGGAGGCTGAGGTTAGACTTTATCACTGTCTTCAACTACCTGAAAGGAGGTTGTAGCCAGGTGGGGTTTGATGGCAGGCAACTACTGACAGTAACTGGATGTGTTCCTTTTGATCAAACTCAGGATGACTGTCAGTGACACTGTGGTCTATTGTAGCTTTTCATTAACTAGGTCTTCATGATGAAAACATCACTTGAAACCATAAAACAATTGATTAATAATATTTAATTAATTGCTTGCTGCTTTACACTTCCAGGGGGAAATGAAAGAAGAAAGCTGGCTGTCTGTTTTGTTCAGAGAAGGAAAACATTTTCTCTGAACTATTCTACTCAAGGTC